CGAGCATAGATCTGTTCCAAGAAGCATGGGAAGCATGTCTATGCGCTTGTCGACCAGATATACTGTCGTTCCACGCTGACTTGCTTCTTTGTCCATTGCATTGTTCGGCTTGACAAAGTGCGAAACATCGGCGATATGAACGCCAACCTGGTAGTTGCCGTTTGGCAGTTTGTGAGCGTGAAGAGCATCGTCGATATCAACACAACCGACAGGATCGATAGAACAAACTAAAAGGTCGCGAAGATCCTTGCGCCCTCTCCAGCCTGGGTCGTCCATGTTAGCGGGTACTTTCCAGTCGTGGCCTTCGGCAGGTAAACAATCTAAGACTGTCTTGGGGAACGGCTTGTATTGTACGTCCCACTCGAGCAGTAAAGCCTCAGTTTCTGCGCCCTTTGATTCAAGCTCACCAAGTGATCGGACGAAATGGCCGACCGGATACCGTGAATCTTTTTCCCATGAGTCAATGGTTGCCAGAACACGTTGACCAAGGAGCTCTCCAGCTTGCCGTGTTCGTATACGGATCTTGGGTATGCGCTTGTCCATGGGGACTAGGAAGACGGTTTGTTGCTGTCTACTTGATTTTGATGAAGAGCGGACCGAGTCGCGGTCAATATGACCCACGTATTGCCGCCAGTTACGCTTGATGATACCCACAACCCGTGCTGTCGGCTGTGGTCGTCCTTCTGCGCTCTGGCCATGGACCCGTTTTACCTCCTCTTGTAACGCTCGTCGCTCTCTCTCGGGGATAACGTTCTCCCCCTCTTCTGCCTCAGCATTGTCGTTCTTGTTCACTGTCTCCTCTTCGATGATTTTTGTAGACGGTGCTTTCCATTGATCTTGAGGCAGCACTTCGACGACGACGACATCACCAGAAACCGCACGATTGCTATTTTCGCGTCCTAGAATAAGAAGTGACTTATCGAAAGCGGGAACATGTACAGAGCCTTCGAGATAGTTGTATGGTGAAACGTTGAAGATGCCCTGGTGTAAAGTGCCGGCTTTTACACCCGTCATCATCTTTGAAACGGAGTAATGCTCCGAGTAAAAGACTTCTGCCTTTTTTGATCTGACTTCACGCTGTTCTTGCGCAGCACTAATCATGTCGAGAAGTTCATCAGAGTTTTCCAGGCCGGAAACAAAATCGGATACTAGACATAGAAGTTAGTGTTGCGCAGCCATGATTGCGCCGGAGACTCACATGTCAGGCCAGGCACATCCTCGCTCTTGGCTTTGCGCAGATTGTCCCTGTCATCAGTAATCATCACAACGGTGGGGATGCGAGTCTGCGTCTTGCTTCGTGCTTTGACAGCATCGGTGATGTGCTGATTGTACCATTGGACGGCTTTGCGCACTGCCCGGTCATTGCGGTCATTGATCGTCTCGCCGGGCTCTCGGACTACATTTGTCTCTTGCCTGAACTCGTTGAAGAATACGTAGAAGCGCTTGCCCTCATTCTTGGTCAGAGATATCAAACGGTGGTACAGCGGCAGCGAGCGGTTCTTAACCTCCTCGAGCACGGTTTGCAGCACAATGACATCATGGAAGGCGGTTTCGACTTCAAACAGGTCCATGCCGGTGAGGAAGGCATTTGTGTCTGGAACTAGATACTGGCCATTGGGAAAATGCTTTGATCCTGCTGGTGTGTCGGACAGGACGAAAGGAGATACTGAAACGGGTTAGTGTGGGACTGCACGTGAAAAGGTGCTGTGGTTAACAAACTCTTCTTGGAGTAGTCAGCGGGCGCAATTTCGAGACATGCTCTGCAGAGGGTCGATGAACAGGGAATGTCCTGCCGTAGATAGAGCTCTCTGACAATTTTTTGGACTTTGCCGCTTTTTGTAGATCGCACGTAGACCTTGCTGGAGAGATTTGATTGGCCGCGGTCGGTAGCCGTGGAGCGCTTGAGACTAAAGTACTCCATCTGTAACTGGGTACGGCCGGGGCGAGTGGCTGCGAGTGTGGGTGTAGTTGTTGTAGTGGTGGGCGTGGGAGTGAATAGTAGTCTGCGAAAGATTGATGCCAAGACCGGCAAGCGGTGGGCCCTTGCTCAAGCTAGCTGAGTGCACGCCAGATGACGGAGCTTGGTGGGCCCGCGTATGCAAGTCGTTAGGTGCAGAGCTACTACATTGATACAAGCTCCCCAACCCAACCTCCAAGCTTCCACATCGCCCACCACCCCTCCCGCCGCTGCATCCGCACGCCCACCATGTCTTCGCCGGACCCGCCCACCTACCTGACGTCGATCCAGAACAACATCCGCGCACGCCCCATCTCGTGGGAAGGCGCCGTGCGCGCAAAGACCATCACCGATGCCGACCTCAAGAAGATCAAGTCCATCGACAAGGTCCGCAAGGAGCAGCGCAAGCAGACCATCGAGGCCGATGTAGACGGATTTGTTACCTTGCTTGTTGGCGGCAATGGCTCCCAGAGCATCTTCGAGGCAGCCGCCAAGCGCCAGGACATCATCCACTACATGCTCGTCCTGCTGGGTGATATGATTGATGGTACGCATGCTGCCCTTATGCTGCTGCCTGCAACGTGAAGCTCATGGCGACAGATATTCCCGCCTTGACATCGGCCATGGCCCAGCATCCGGCCCCCTACAAGCCATTCCTCCCGCTTCTCAAAGCCTCGTCCAGCAACGAAGACCCTGTGCCGCTGCTTACTTCGTCGGTCCTGTCTGGTCTGCTGTCACACGCCGTCACACAGTCTTCCAAGGCCACTCCCCAGCTTGACGAGGCCCTCGCTCAACTCTTCTCCTACCTCTCGACACTGGCAAAAGCCTCCGACGCCGGCCTGCAGGACATTGCCGTGCGCCAATACTCTGCCGTGCTGCGCAGTAAGCGTTCTAGGCATATCTTCTGGGAGCATAGGAAAGAGACGTTGAACCCTCTGTTTGACATTTTGCGTGCCGCTGCGGGATCCGCAAAGGATACGGACTCGACCCTATACAGCGCCGGCGCCAGTATCCGCAGCACAGCTGATGGCGCCATCTCAGGTGGTGTTGGCCTCCAACTGCTTTACCACGTACTTCTCGTCATCTGGCAGCTCAGCTTCGAGGGCGAGCTGGTTGGAGAGGGTCTTCAAGAGTGCGCTATATCCCCGCCCCCACCATCCTCTGCCCCCGCTAACAGCCATAGTGAACACGACATTGTCATTCTTTACACACAGCTCCTCAAGGTCTCTCCCAAGGAGAAGACCACGCGCCTGCTCCTTTCTACGCTTGTCAACCTCTTAACCACGAACCGTCAGACTTTGCTTCCTACCGCCGTCCTTGCTCGCTTGCCTTCTCTCCTTACAAGCCTGAAGTCACGTCATTTGACAGACGAGGATGCCCTCGAAGACTTGCAGACTCTAAACGAGCTGCTTGACGAGTACACCAAAACTCAAACCACATTTGACGAATACGCAGCCGAGCTCCACTCGGGTCATCTTCGCTGGTCTCCGCCGCATCGCAACCCTACTTTCTGGCGAGATAATGCACGTCGCATATTGGAAGAAAACAAGGGCGAACTACCCAAGAAGCTTGCCGAGATTTTGTCAAAGAGCTGGGAAAACGACAAGCAGGTATTAGCAATTGGATGCAATGATGTTGCATACTTGGTCAAGGAGGTGCCAGAGAAGCGACAGCAGCTTGAGAAGTTGGGCTTGAAGGGCAGAGTTATGGAACTGATGCAAGAAACGGATGAGACCGTGCGATGGGAGAGTTTGAGAGCTGTTGGTGAGTGGCTTCGGTACAGCTTCGAGTCCAAGACGGAGTTGCCCGTCAGGTAACGGGGTTGAACTGTATCAGTGTTTGTTTCGCGAAGCAGTAAGAAGCGTGTTCAAGTGCTTGTCCGTGTACATCTTTGACGTCAGACGAAATATACAAAACAGTAATCTGGCTACCAGATGTTTATGCGTTATCCACCAGTATCTCTTCTATCGTACAGTACTACACGCTCCAGTATATTAGTACGCAGCATATCTCATCAACATTCTTTCAGGCCCTCATCCTGTGTCCCTCTTTTGGCTTCTCGTGATTATTGACTATGTAACTTGACTTGAGTGCGAATAGTCAGCTTGTCTTTTGAGCGTGTAGTGTCTAGAGGAAAGTAATTAGATTGTCCATCGATCAAGATATTGAAATGTATAATACATGCAGATGGAATGTATAGAAAACTAGTATCGTGTAAACATTTGTGTAAAGGCGATTTTGCATCAAATCTTCACAAGTTTTCAGAATATACAGTAATCAAGCAAGACTAATCTTCAACGAAGCTTTCTTATTTTTCTAACTTTCTAGTGTGAAAATTATTAGGTTTAAAATTGCGACGTTAGAAGCAAATGGCACATCCCGCTTGTTGGAGCAATCGATGGATATACTCTCACGTCCTAAATCTCTCTACTAAGAAGAAGAAGAGCTTTTAGTTATATGATAAATAAGTCATTAGTCACGTATTATTTCTAGGAGTGACTAGGTCTTTGAAATAGACAGTGTGATGGGCTTTGGGCATTGTGAAATACTCGACACACCCAACCCGATTCATGTAATATGAGTTTCCAAGCGCAAAAAAAGATTCAAAAACATACGACAGCGGGGATTCGCCAGTGGTCACCCACCTGACTACTAATCCGCCGGTAAACTGCTTAAGTACGAATGATCTGACGGGGATTCCTGCTGCCAGCTTCCGATGATCGTATGTGACGGAATTGGCAATTAGAGACAATACGTTAGGAGGTTAGTCTATAGAGTCTGATCAGAGAAGAGAGACCCTCATATGAGCTACGTGACTTCGCAACAAGATTAACACCTATGTTTGGATGTCTTCCCTTTGTGTATAGGTAGTAAACAATGACTTCACACCCTTCTTGATATCCCCTGCAAAGACTTAAAAGAGGGAGGTATGCAAGAGAGATTACATACGTAGAGGAAATGGTGTGGTGGGGCAAGCTCATGTGGGGCAAGCTCTCCCGCAGATGAGAACCAACATGCCGTCACTACTTCCACCAAAACCTCCATGTTCCGACTCTTTCGACCACTGTTCTTCACGAAGTCCTTCGTGCGACCATACTCGTCTGAAACAAATCGCTTCAGCACAGTGGAAGTCCTGGAATACCTGGATAACACAAACAAGCTCAGCATACCCAGATTCGACATCAATAAACCCGCAGTCTTTAGGTCTGCATTCTCTGATTTCCCAGCGGCAGAGAAATGGTTCAGTTCGAGCAACGATAATTCTGGTTACCCTCAGGAGCTTAATCTAGCATATCTAGGAAAACATGGCAACAAGATTGTGCCTCTAGAAATAACACGCTCAACCATCAACAGTGCGCAGAACGAGACGTTCGATCGCGTCGAAGCACCTTTTTCCCTTCTTCTAACGCACATTAGCGCGATGGAGGATCAGTGTGTACGCCTTTACCTCGCGCAGCATTCATTGGAAGACCTCCCAGCCGAACTGAACAAAGACCTGGCCACCCCATTGGCTTTCCTAACATGTTTGAAAGCTCGTGGCGACATTTATGCTTCAAGTCTTTGGATGGGTAGACCGCCGACTCGTACTCCGTTACACAGGGATCCGAATCCGAATCTTTTTGTGCAATTGGCGGGAAAGAAGAAGGTCAGGATGATGACACCTGGGGTTGGGAGAGGCGTGTTTGAGAGAGTGCGGCAGCAGATACGTGGGGCTTCTGGTGATGCGAACATGAGGGGCGCAGAGATGATGCAGGGGAGGGAGATGGAGGGTCTTGAGAACGCGGTATGGGGTGTGAATGAGAACGGAGTAAAAGGATGGGAAACGACTCTCACGGCCGGCGATGCGCTATACATTCCTTTGGGATGGTGGCATGCTGTTAGGGGTGTTGGAAAGGGTGCAAATGCGTCTGTAGGTATACCAGCTTATTTTACATGCCGTATACTAAGTGTGAATACTAGGTTAATTGGTGGTTCCGCTGAACAAAAGCCACTTCTCAGAAAACCCCAATATCCTGAGTTTTTATGCCGCAGCAGCGTTCAGTGGCTCTACGACTGCACTTCGACCCTTACAGTAGCCTCCATCCCATCAATCCACGTCCCAATCGACCTTGTGCCAGGCAAGATCTCCACTTCACGCATCACGCGTTCCATGCCCATCTCAGCCTCGCTATCCTCTGAGTCCCACTCGTCCTCCACAATTTCCGTAGCCGATTTGCGTACCGACATCCAATCACCGGTTTCCCAGACCAGTTTGCATGTGATAGGTTTGATGTTGAGGTGCCTGCCTACAACACCAAGGGTAGTGTATGTAGTGCTGCCCACTGGAATCTCAGTTTCAAAAATTGTAGCTGGGGAGGTTGCGAGATAGAATTTGATGCGGAGCAGCCGGGCAGCCAAGGAGTTTGGATTCACAGCATTTGCGGAACGCTGAACATCAGGCTCACCATACTCCTCGCACAACCATTCGTATCTCGGATGACTTTTCAAGATTTCCTCTCTTAGGTTCTCGGATGCAAACTGAAGCTCCTTTGCTATCATAGAAAGGTAATACGACTCTGCATTCAATCGCTCTTTTTCGGTGATCGGACTATGGTTTAGCGTCTTGAGCTGCCCAAGTCGCGCAAGGGTAAGCATGTACCCGTCATCGGCAGTCAGGGAACGGCCGTCTGGTGCCTGGAGTGATTGATACAGGGGGTTGTGCGAGACTCGCAGGCTCTGGAGACCAGGAAAGACGTGAACGAGCTGCTCGATGAAGCTCCATGTCGTTATCTCGTTGAATGAGAGATCAACTTCACGCACTGTTTTCGGGAACAGCGGCACCGATGCGCCGGCGCTGACTATCTCGGATACTTTGTTGGATTTCAAGATCAGCCGCTGGAGGTTTGGTAGCTTCGATAGGCATTCGACAGAGGAAAGGGATGTGATGTGATTGTCTTCTAGTGTAAGGCCGGTAATTGTCGGGTTGGGTGTATGTGGCGTAAGTGCTGTATAGAGGTTGCTCGAGGCGGAAAACGTGGTGAGGGATGGGAAGAGATGAGTAAGTTGTGCTATGTCAGCCCAAGGAAGAAGGGTGTCTTCTAGCTTCAAGGACGTTATACGTGTAAAAGCTTTCCGGCACCTTTCCTGCTCCGCGTCCGTAAGATTTACATCTCGGAAACGTGTGCCACTTTTCTCTTCTATTAGCATTTTGCACAGACTGTGGATGTAGTGATGAAAGAAAAGGAAAAACCTACTCGACCCTCAAACTCCTCAGTTCTGGCAATTGTTCGCATATTGCCGCTACTTCTCTCCAGTCCTCAAACAGATTCCTGCTCAAATCAAGTTCGATGGCTTTCGGACAAGCATCCTTTACGTCGCTCTTCTCGCCACCTTCCATCCACTTCGTGTCCCGTGCTTCTGGGCGATGCATACATAGCCCATCCAAAATGATAATCCTCAATTCCGACAACTGAGCGAGCTGCCGTCGAATCTTTTCGAACCCGATTTCCTCTGCTGGTTTTCCATTGAAAGTTACTGGCTTCCGATCCTGTTGTTTATGTGGCGCCTGAAGATTAAACACGACTTGGACATCCGGATCCTGGGGTCCTTCTTCCCCATATTCTTCCTCTTCAGACGCATACTTTGCTTTGAGCGCCTTTACAAAAGAGCGCGGTAGGTCCGGTTTGCGGGCTGGTCGGATAAAGGATCCAGAGGTCGGAGAAGGATTCAAACACGCAAAGTATTGAGTGCCTTGGTGCGAGCCCGAGTGCTTCCCCCGGGTAGGATCGTCCCATTCTACTCCAAGCCATGTACCGGTTGTTCCCTCTACAGGGCCATGATAACGAACCGTACAAAGGTGAGAAGCATACGAAAGGCGTTTACCGAGATAGATATCTGTTGTCATTGCTAACCCTGATGTCGACCAGCGAAGCAACGTTAGGAGTGTACTGTAATTTTGATAATATTCACGTGGTCCTTCTCTTTGTGCTGTTCCGGAAAGATTGTCAGTCTCACCGGAGTGGTTTTCAGAGAGATCGAAAATTTCCCCCAGAATCAATGCAGATTGATTATCGTAGGCATCGAACCTGGATGTTGCATGAAGGTATAAGGCAGCTGTGCACGTGATGTGGCAAGCGGAGCGTCGCTAGCGCGGTACCTGATCGCCGCTTCGAGAAGTCCTGATATGCGCATAGCACATCCACGACCGACGCGCCTCACTGCACAACCCTCTGCATTCAGCAAGCACAAGTCGCGTAAGAGTATAATATCTAAAACCCCTCGTAGCTCTTCGGATTGACCAAAAACCTCTTTGAGAGCGATCAAATATGGATTACCAGGTATGTTCACACGTCGCGAAAAAGTTGAAAGCAGCTACTAACTCCTACAGAATCGTGCAGGTTCCAAGTTTGGTGGAGGAGGTGTCGCCTCACAGTCTGCGACGAACGCCGATCGAAGAGAACGTCTCCGCAAGCTTGCACTCGAGACGATTGACCTCGACAAAGATCCGTACTTCTTCAAGAACCACGTCGGTAGCTTCGAGTGCCGTCTCTGCTTAACAGTCCATCAGAACGATGGCTCATATCTCGCGCATACACAAGGAAGGAAACATCAAACAAACTTGGCGCGTCGTGCTGCAAAGGAGCAGAGAGAAGGCAAGAGGGACGATGTCGGTCAGCAAGGACTGCTTGCTGGAGTGGTGCCCAAGAAGAATGTCATCAAGATTGGGCGGCCTGGATACCGCATCACAAAAGTACGCGACCCCAACACGCGCCAAAATGGCCTGCTGTTCCAGTTTCAATTTCCGGATCTCACCCCTGGCGTAACCCCCAAGGTCCGTATCATGAGCGCATATGAGCAGAGGGTTGAAGAGCCCGACCCAAACTACCAGTACCTCATTGTTGCCGGAGAGCCTTATGAGACTGTTGCGGTCAAGTTGCAGTCCCGCGATATCGACAGGAGAGAGGGCAAGTTCTGGTTCTGGTATGACGAAGACGCCAAGGAATTTTGGTGCCAGGTGCTGTTCAAGACTGAACGTGACGAACGTTTCAGCGCAGTTCCCGGTCTTGCACCTGGCCGTAAGTAAAGCAACCAAATGGCAATTTTTTTGCTGCGGAACTTAGGTTTGATCGCTTTTCCGACAAGGCACGATTCATAATTGGGGGCAGGCAAGCGAGCTCCGGCCTGATCATACGATATTAACAGCTTATGCATTTTCGAATTGAAGGCGTTACGATGGCGTTATTGACAACAAAGACACCGATTTTGATGGAACCAAGTTGGTATATGTAAACCCTAGGTTGCAAGATAATGAATACAAATCTGACATGAAAAAGCCATTGGCAGAACCTTCCTAAATCTTGAAGTCAAGACTACCGACCATCAAGAGTGAATCCAACAATTGTCCTGGTACCGTCAGCATTAAACACTTTGCGGCTGCTGACATTGTGTTTGTAGTCACGTGATGATATATATTTGCTCAAGGTGAACACTGACGAGTCGTAGACATATTTCCGCAGTCTCGGCCTCTGCATATCTTCCAGACCTCATCTGAACATGCTTGCTCAGTATTGTGTTGTTCAGCTGATCACCTGCATTCGCGTGCCTTCCCTAAACAACATCGGTATCGATAGTCTGCAGCACCTGCCGCAGCATCCTCTCTCACCGTCTTTCCTCGCTTCCAGCCTCAACCTTTTCACAATTCTACCTCTCAGTCGATGTCTCAGCATCGGCCTACCTCATGATCTAATGATGCGATCATATCCGCCGTCATTTTGATATCAACACTCTTGGCACATTTCATTACTTTCTCCATCAAACGACGCGTAAGTCCATTGTTGTACAGCACATTACACATATCTGGTTCGCACTTGCAGGGGATGTGGCGCAGTGGCCTGCAGATGTAGGTGCCTGTGTTTTTCCTGCCGTCTGTCCAATCCAGAGATTCCCTGTAAAAGGTGCGCCTCTGCGGGAGCACTACCACTACCAATCCATCGACAGGGGTTCTACAGCTTGTCGCTCCGAGAAATACATGCAGAAACTGGATGTCCTGGAGTTACGGATCAACAAAAAGACGTGTCAATCTTGCTTTTTGACTATTTGATCATGTCTGTTCTCTTGACTGGATAGTCTGAGCGTGATACAGACCGATGATGACCTGTCTGGAAAAAGACATATGCACTAAAAGGGACTGTTTCGGAGATTCGTTGATCTACAGCCGCAATGCTTGGTTTAACCCTGTCCCTTACTGGCTACGCAAGCTGGCTGTTTCCCTGTCTAAGTATACACGACATTGGGACCGAAAAGTGAGATTCTCATCTTGAAATTGATGACGGTGGTAAGCAAGCAGACGCTTTCTTTTTCGTTGCAGAATTTATAACAAGGTTCCACGTGTTGTGGGTGGGCACGATAACTCAGGGATTTCCACACCTCGTACTCTATCCGTCAGGGTCAATGCATGAGTGGCCCCCGTCTAGGTCCCATGAATTGAAGAAGACGCTCTAGGCGAAATCAAAAGACAACACGCATGAGTGCTACGTTAGACACGATCAGCTTCATCAGCCATCACACTCTTTGACAAAGACATTTACAGGTGTTGTGGGTGATCATCTGACACCTATGGATGGGTAAATACGATAACCGCCCCGGTCTCGTCAAGCCTTCACGCAACCAGTAGCGCCTGACCGCTTGTTGATGGAGAAAACCGTTGATTTAGTATGGTGATTGGCTGCAACTCCTTCACTCGTTGATGCAGCCTCGCCGCACCTCCCCACTTTGGAGCGGATCGCGGCACTATTCGATTGTAGTTGACATCTAGCCTGTGAATCACCCCGACAAGGATACTAGAACAAGACTGCAGGGTTACGTGAAGCTCCGAAGAGGCAGGGTTCCGTCCAAGGATAGTGCATGCGCGGCCTCTATCTCACGAATGCTCGGGAACATGCCGAGAGTATTAGCTTGTGCTGTCTTATTTGTTTCAAAACTCAGATGCGACCAAATTTGGGAGTCTAGACAGCATGGCAACAAAAGCATGTGCGTGTAGATCCCCGTGAAGAGTCGGAGATGGCATGGTTACGCGAATGACGACGCCTCAAAAGAGCAGAATTGCATGTATTATTGATGTTTTTTGAAGCAATTTGTTTTTACTTCGGTGTTCTAGGAGCCGAAGAAGAAGAGCATGTCAGCTTCACCGCTAAAGCTGTATGGTCCCGAAGCAGTCGGCTCCCATACCGAAAGCCAAACTAGAAGCCAAACATAGGGTTTGGCTTCGAGTGCTCTATCTGACGGTTGCGGGAACGGACACACTCGCTCGTTAAGCGGTCCTGTCAATTGCATCCCAACAAGCCGGGAATATGAAACGAGGCATGGAAAACAAAACGATTGCACGGGACGACGTACGACGGTTGCATCCGTCGGCTGCAATGGCAGTCGAGACTGACCATGGCCCCGTCATCGTGTATGATTTCTGTTGCTGTTGCGATCCAGCACAGTGGATACAGCTGTCATATGATGATCAAACAGCTATCCTAGCTCAGCAGCAGTGCCCCGCCAAGCAGTCGATTGGGCCTATGACTATGATTCACAGTGCAATGTTTCAACTAATCCTTGCAATGTGCGCACTACGGATGTCATGACAGCGGTGTACGGGTTTAGTAGCGTAATGAGCAAGGTCTTGGGCCGGCTCAACAAGGACGACGTGGTATTCAAGTAAGGCGCCCGTGGCGACTTTGACGCTCGCGCCCAGAAGACGCATTGCAGCTGTGGAGATTGAGAGCCATAGAGAACGGGTTCTAAGTTCCGCTCATGTGGTAGTCCCGGATTTACGAAAGGAGTGGAAACAAGCGACGGCACACTTTGTGGAAATCACTCAATGGAGAGTAGGTATTAGCCACCAACCGGATGCTCTGGTATATTGTTTCTCTAGAACCCCAGCGATGAGGACCGAGTTCGGATGCGAGGACGCTTGATCAGACAAAGAATGGTAATACTTCCAGATTAGTGGCAAGACCCTGCACCTGCAGGGCAACAAGGCAGATGACAAAACTTTTGCCTCAGGGTCTAAGACATGGGACTATTGTGGCACAGCCTCCCGGGAACGCGTCAAGAGGCAAGAGACGACAAGCAACGAACGCGATGAGCAGGGCCAAGTGGGCGGGACAAGAAGCCGCAGCAGCGGGAGCAGGCACAGGCATTTGCATTGGACGAGACAGCACGGTTGAGATCTTCTGGCATATGGACGGTGATTGTTACTTCGCGCAGTTTCAGGCCATGTGGACGTCGAAGAGCACAGACCGGGTTTAGGGTATTTAGAGAGAGCGCTTGATATAGTGGAGTAAGTAAGGCAAGCATGGCGTAATAACCCCCGCTAGGACAGTGACGCGAGCTGCGGAAAGGCTGTACGGTCAGATACGGACAAGGTAACACGGTGGGGATCGGGTGCAGCACGGGCAGAAAAAAAGCTGCCGGGGTATTCAACCAAGTGCCCTTGTTCAGCGGGAGAGCGGGTCGCTTTGTGGAACAGATCGCCGAGTCAAAATAAAGAGGGCTTTTGGTTTTTTGGCCATAGGGCATGGGGGATGCGATTTCGAATCAGAGGCAGCGTTGAGTAGTGGGGAGCTTGGGCCGAACGGCAAACAGGAATCCCGGAGTCATGGAATGGCGTCGAGCAGTCTGCGCTCCATGGGCGCTCATAGGCCAAGCAGCGGGCGAGGGCGCTACGCGTACTAGACGACGACGACGGCGCAGCCGGCTAGGGAACACATACTTACTAGAGGAAAATGCAATACGCATCCAAGCTCGGCGATCAGCGCAGCTCAGTCAGAAGAGGAAGAGACAGACAGGGTCGGGGTCGCGGGAATGCGACGGGCAAGGCAGCAGGAAATGATATTGAACAGCGCCAAGCCAAGGGCAACACGGGTTTGAGCAGCTCCACAGCAATAAACTTGGGCTTCCGCATTCGGCTGCTGCGGCAAGTGTTTCCCTCTGGGCCTGGTAGCAAGTCAGACGATACGGCTTGATTGATAGAAGGAGAAAGGTAGATGCATGACTGCGGACGCCAATGCACGTTTCCAGGGTAGTCCTGTCTTGGGTGAGCTGCAGGCCCATGGGTGTGCAAAATCAATGATTCGACGGCAGCCTGCTGACACTTTGTTCGCCTTGCTGGGAGACGGTCCATCAGCAGGTGGACAGGCGTGCTCACTGGTTGACATGGGTGGGTTAGAGCGAACTGGTCGCAATGGCCGCTCAGAGCTGGCCGGCGGCGGTCGCGTCGGCAGCCGGAAGCAGCCATGATAGGCAGCTCTGGGCAATGGGCCACGGCCGTGAAAGCTGAGAATGGATTCAAGGGCAATATGTATGGAACAGGAAGAAGAGGAGGATACGGATAAGGATAGGGAGCATTAGCCGCGATGCTACTACCATCACCCACTATCAGCGGCATGATGAGCTGAGGCAGCAGGCCCGGCGTGTTCGGGTGCTTGGCCCTTGGGCGCGGTGGAGACGACGGAGTCTGGCAGGAGGAGGGAGATCCAAGCTAGCGGTCGCTATCGCGCAGGATGATGCGAGTAATCCTGTTCCGCTCCGTTGAAGAAGAAGAAGAAGAAGAACAACAAGAAGAAAGCACAGGCAGCGGCCTGGGCGCGTCTGCCCAGGAAGCCAGCTCCTAGTAGCAGTAGCAGCGAAAAAGCCACCGGGTCGTGCAGGGCCGTAGGAGAGCCACTTTTTATCACACTGCAGCGCCTCTAATGCCTGAAGCTTGTCGCCGTCGTCATTGCGTGCCATTTGCTCACTAGACGACGTCTTGTTCTCCGCCGTGCGGGCCGTCAGCTGCTGGGGGACAAGGGCATATCAGATTGGGCCTCGCCCATCTTTCGTAATTGACCACAATTCCAGAGGGCATCGCTCCAGTCCCGTCTGCACACACGCACACACGCACACACACGCAGCGCAGCGCAGCACACGCACACCCGGCCTGGCCTCTGCTCTCGCCGCTCGCCTCTTGCCCGCCTCGCTGCCACCACCCAGCCTCTGCCCGCTGCCCGCTGCCCGCTGCCTGCCTGCCTGCCTGCCTGCCTGTGTCTACCCCCTCGGCCAGAATAGCCGCGCCCACGACAACGCTACGCTACTCTCTATTGAACATTCCCATCCCCATCCATCCCTATCCATATCCCTCTACCAACCACGCACGGGGTCCTGCTCCTACATACTCCGCCGCGGCCCCCCCGTCGTCGTCGCTGGCTGGACAGCCTGTCACTACCCAAGGTTCGTCTGCTCCCCAACCCCCCCATCCCCCCCATCCCCCAACCGTTCGCTCCGCTGCTCGTACACTCGTTCCTGTGTGTGCGTGTATGTGCGTGCGTGCGAGCTGCCCTGCTTGCCCGGCCTGGTCGCGCTCCCGCCCCAGGACCCATCCCGCCCTAGCCAGCAACGCAACGCGCGCGCGCTCGAGTGCTGCAAGTCACCCTTACAGCGGCTGCTCGCAGACACACGCCTTGGGTTGCATCTCACGTGGCGTCTTTTTGCTCCACCGTCGGCTCCTGTCCACGGGCACTGATCGCGCACCGCGACCGAGCGCGCGACGCACTTTTGTTCTGCGCCAACACCTGAAACTCAAACTTAACGCCTTGTTAGTGTCTATCGATCAGCACGCGCGGACCGTCGCCGTCGCCAACCCGTGCCTTTTTTACATATTCCTCCGCAATCCTGGGCTGTGCCACCTGTTCGTGCATCGAACAAGTAGACGCCATCGCCTTTGCCCACACTTGCCCGTACTTGAACTCGGCCTCTCGCTGCTTTGGCCAAAACACGAAGCGCGTGCCCTTGTCAGAGCCTTGGCCCCACCTGCGCCCTCCAACTCGCCCTCGCCTCTCTCGCCCCAACCTCAATCTTGGTTCGACCGCATCGACACCCCGTCCTTCTCCATCACCAACCAGCACATGACCGCCGCCCACAGCTCAAGCCCGTTGTGCGTCTAGCCCTACTAACCTCCCTGCGCCGATTGGGCCCGCCCTCCCTGAGCTTCACGACGCTCGACGGAAGCTTCCTTCGAGCTCGGTCGCTCCCGCGCCGCCTGGATGTACTCAGTGCATGTGCAACAGCCCATACAAATCATGTCAAATGGTGGCATTGGAAACGGCATCATGGATTCTGGTACCATTGACCCGTCGCGTAAGTAGTCGCGTCCCCTCTCCCCACAGCTGCCCTTTTCCTTCGCACCGGCCCGCGCGTCTTGTTACATCCGACGCAGCCTCCCGCGAGTAATTGTTGACCTTGGCCAGATGTCTTCTCCGGCCCCCCGCAGCCTGTCGCACAGCAACAGCAACAATCGCGCGGCCTGAAGCGCAGTCGCTCCCCCGATACCAGCTACGAGCTGCAGGGCGACGACACTCCAAACAACAAGCGCAGTCGCGGCCGCCCTTCAAAGGGCGCCGCCGCGCGACCCCCGTACGGCGGCTCTCCCAACCGCGGCTCCCAACCTCCGCCGACTCCATCGCAGCACTCAGGCGCCGCGCCGCCTGTGCAAACTCCCCAGCTGCAGGCCACATCGCTGCCTAAAGCTTCCCCTCCCCAAGCATCGCCGCCTACCAAAGCGACGCCCGCCAAGCCCACAGTCATCAAGGCGCTGCCCACTGTGCGCGATCATACAACTGATCAGCTCAATGCAGAAGGTGATGAATACATCCCGCGCGAAATCGACGAGGCGGGAGAGCGAAAGGTGACGCAAACCGGCCACCCGCTTGATGGGCGCGAATACCGATGCCGTACCTTCTTTGTGCCTAACCGAGCTGACAAGCTCTTCATGCTTGCCACTGAGTGCGCACGCGTCTTGGGATACCGAGACTCGTATCTCCTCTTTAACAAGAACCGATCACTGTACAAGATCATTGCCACCCAGGCCGAAAAGGACGACCTCATCCACCAGGAAATTCTTCCTTACTCTTACCGTTCCAGGCAGATTGCCATCGTGACCGCCCGCTCCATGTTCAGGCAATTTGGCAGCAGGCTGATTGTCAACGGACGGCGCGTACGCGACGACTACTGGGAGAGCAAGGCTAGGAAACAAGGTTTCACCGAGGAAGATGCTGCAGGAGAAAAGAGACCTGGCGCAGCAAAGGCAAGAGAAGCAGCCGCCGCCGAAGCCAACCACGCCAACGCCATGGCCTTTGCTCATCCTGGAGCCTATACGGGCAACAACCAAGATTACCTAGGCTCTGCGATCAATCCTCTGCAGCCATTTGGTGGTCTCAACCCCGCTCCAGGAAGCATGCCGACCACAGCCCCGGATGCATATAGTCACCGAGCCACCGCTGACCTACAGCCTCGGGACTACAGTGGTGTTCAGCGTCCACGACACGAATTGCAGGGTACCCCCTATCAAGACATGACAAGGCCAAGCCCATCTGGCGAGATCCTCAACGCAGCTACGCAGACAGCCGAGGTTAACAAGCAGCTCGAACAGCAGCGCAAGAACCGAAAAGAGTATCTGAACGACGTCTGGACACGTCCGCATGAGCCGCCGGTGCAGCCGAACCGCCCAGGAACAGCCGAGGGAGAGCATGCTCCACAAGTCTCACAAGCTGTTCAGTCTCCGCGCATGTCCTCGACATCTGTGACCATGCCAGGAAGTCAATATGGCATGCCAGCTCAGACGCCACAAAGACCAGGGCAGTCCATGGGTACGCAGGCTTACCGCCCGCAAACCATGCCCCAGAACAACATGGTTCCATCGCCCATGGCTCAACAGCACACTCCGCTCCGACCAGACCAGATGCATCGTCGACCACCGAGCATCGGCATGCCTCAAGGTATGAACGCTTCAAGCATGGGGCCTGGAGGCATGCTCCCTAGCGTTCAACAGACCGCGGGACATGGCTATCCACCATCACACATGTGGCAAGGACCTTCACAGCCATCTCCCCTCTCTCAGCAGCACAACATGCAGCAATACGCTCAGCGTCCTCCTCAGCAGTCGCCACTTCCTCAGCAATCTCAGATGCACGCCTCACCACAGCTCCACCACGCCCAAAGTAGCGCCTCGATGCACGGCACTCCGGTTCAGCAATACCAGACCATGGGAGCCATGGGCGGCTCCATGCCTGGCGGAGACAGTGGATACCAGGCAATGGGCCAAAACCCATACCAGCCTAGCCCAAGCCCTCACCAATTCATGCAACAGCAGAGCGCTGCTGCTCAGCAGCCTGGCATGCCTGGCTGGGCACCACCTCAGGCCTCTCAACAAGGAGGATGGTCATCTTACTAGGGGAAGCTAGTACTGCCCAGCCTAACCTCATCAAGCGCAATGCAGTCTTGCACTGCGACACTATGTCGGTCACTGGAGATTGCATGGACACTCATCTAGTTCGCTCTGGATTGATATGATTCCCGGAAGTCCGCGGCGTTTACTGATTTAGATTCATGTCATGCCAAGAGCCAGTCGCTACGATATTCACCTACTGTTTGCTTTTCGTCTCATCTCGCACACTACGCTCATTCAACCCTGCGCCCCACTTGGCTCCCCTACTCACCGGCGACAATGACCTTACGATACACGAGCTGGTTATGAGTACGCCAAGCAATGAAGGTGACACGATAGCATCATAGACTCGGCGGTATGGGGAACCATTCTTTTATCCGGAGCCCGGCGGCTCCAACTCCCGTATATTTGCGACTTTTGAAACGCACCTTCTATTCAGCGACCATATTCGCAAGGTCAGTTCATGCTACTCTGCTTGGCATGGAGCCGACTTCCCCAGTTTTTTTTCCTTTGCGGCTTGACAGTAATTGCATGGGTTCAGTGCGAGCAGGACAGATGATTGGATATTCTGGCAGAGTTCTCTATGTTGCATGGCTAGTGGCGCCGCTCTTGGTCAGATTGTCACATCTTCTTGCTACTGCTATTTTATCTTTTGCGATTTTCTCCGAGTATTAACTGCCCCCCATTGTATCCGTCTCATTAGTGGTGGTTTAGTTATCGCTTTGCACAAGATTCCCCCCAGATTCCCCGCACCTTGTTTTTTGTGTTCTTTTTTTCTGTGGTATTGCTTTACAGTTGTAGGCATCATTGTATATTGGAGGGAATAGGCTCTATGCTTTTGGCATGGGGGCTAAGGGTAGGGATTTTCAAGGAACGTCTAGACAGGCACTACTTGGGGGCTCGAAACACATAGCCGGAGGCCTTTTTTGCATCCTTCCCTTAATAGTAATCTCCACCCCGTTTTGCGCGAGATAAGATTTTTTACGCTCAAAGTAACGTTTGATGTTCGGACATGTGCCTATCTGCGCCTAGCCAAAGTAACATCCATGGAAGGTACCAAGCAAAGTCGTCTCACCATGTGCTGCACCCCAGGAATTTCGTCCGTCTTACAAAAAGGTCTATCCAGGAGGGGTTGCTTATCGATCTACAAATGACAGCATCTTATGAGTACAAGCGCAGTCCCACCACCGCAGCGTGCGCATGTTCGACTGGGGTGGTCGGTAGTAGTAGCAGCAGCAGTAGTAGTAGTAGTAGCAGCGGCGGCGGTGGAGGCGCCGGGGGGGGGGACCACTCTTTGCCAACCTGCATTCGAAGCGGCGAAAAGAGCGGGCATGGTACATGGGTTCTGCAACAGATCGTGGAACGGATGCGGGAACGGACGGCGGCAACGCCGCTCAGACCACACCAGGCCATGCATCATGGACTTGCGCAATCAAGGGCTCGGCTATTTGGGGGGGGGAGGAGGAGGAGGCATGTCATTGGAACATGCAAGCTTGCGTTTCCCTTCCTTTCTCTCTCCCTCTGTCCATGTCGCCGGCAAAGCCTCGAATCCACTTCTCCTTATTCCTCTCCCTTCAAACCTTAACCCAACCCAGCTTTGTTTTGTGGCGTCGTCTGTTCTTTGTCTCCGTTGTGGTTAGTCAGTTTTCTTTTTTACTCTTTTTTCATTTCGCTGGGTTTCCTGCCGTCGAATAGCATCAGCGCTTTGCCTTTGCATTTCTCTAATCACCGCTATTTAATTGGCTAAAGTCTTTTTTTGTTCGACCACTTTTTTTTCGCGCTCGCGCTCGCCTTCCAGCTGGGAAATGGTGAATTAGGTCACAATTAAAAGAAAAGAAAAGAAAAGAGAGATAAAATGGTGCCACCTTAGAAATTCTGCCCGGGAGCGCTGTTTTTTGGGTTCTTGCGACCTGTCGGATCTACTCCGGCCTTACTTCTTCTTGCCCTTTGCCTCTTGCTCTCTTTTGCTCCCCAGGCGGACGGGTCCCCCGCGTGTTGTGCGGCTCAACGTACTTGTTGTGTATCGTTACCTCGGGTCCGCTGCTCGCTCCCCCGCCTCCTCCTTATCCTCCAGCGTCTAGCCTTTGGGCCATTGCCCTTACTTACCGATTTTAGGGGAGATTTCGTTTTTTGCTTTTGCGCTCTAGTCATTTTAGGTATGCTGAACGTCGAAGTAAATGAGTAACAGGGATTTTGTCCGGTGAGCGAACAAGCTCTATGTACATGTGTGGTTCATAATCTGACCGTTTTTTGTGCAATACGCATCTTACCCGCCAACAGTCCTTTTACGACATGACACTTTGTCTTCTTCATTTGAGTTTGCGGTTAGCGCACAGTTTTTGTTTGCGATGTACCCAGTCTATCGGTTTTGTTTCTTTTTGCTGGAGCTTAGCATGTAAGTCTTGATTGCTTTTGGCGTGTTTTTGATTTTTCATTTGCGGAGCTAAACTCCGTGTCGAATGATTGTCGCTACGTAATCATCATGGGCCTGGTCGGTGTAAGCCAACATGTCGCTATTGTCTCTGTCTCTGTCTCGCTCGCTACTTTTTCTCCCTTGTCGTGTTCCCTATCATGGGCTTGGAGGGGTGGTCGGAGGCTATGTTACATGCACTCTAGGGCATTTCATCGATCAAGTTTAGTCGCTCCGTTGGTTCTCCACTCACACTTTTTGCTCCTTCCCTTGCCTCTTGCTTTCTCCACAAGCGGGCCCTGCGTCGTCCTGCGAGGGCCTTGCGGCTGCGTATCGTTGTGCCACGCTACGTTCGCACCCGGTCTAGGGCCAGAGGAAGCAGGTGCTGCCGGGGTTCGACGTGTAATGTGGCTGAACCCTTCTTTTGCAGGTGGTTCTGGGCCAAAGCCCTTTGCCTGACGCGGTGGTTAATCGCGGATTTTACTATATTATCCATCCATACAAATGGCGCTTCGTCATTGACTCAATGCTGGACATGGCGTGATGGTGATCTCCACTCTTTGTGCAGGATTCATCAAGATCACCTGAAGACGTATTGAAGATGTCAGTATACGGCAGATGTGTGAGTGGAGATAAAGTGTGCAGTAGATGATGTATTGTTGGTGAAGATGAATCGCTATTGAAAGCCAATCGTTGGTTGGCTAGCTCTCTAGCGATCCTGTGAAGCAATGTACCATTACTCGTGGATAGCACCGTGTCTCACATCCGATCAGGTTGGCCCACTTTGCTCCCGTCCTAAGCCTTAAACTACACGGCAAGTAATGCAATTGGTTTACATAAACCATGTTAGTGTTCGAATGCCAGAGTGTGTGTGGACCCTATCTCTCAAGTATGAGGTGAGGCTTAACGAGACTGTTGTTACTAAAGTGGTACTTACAAATATCGTAAATCTGAGCCCAAGGCCACACCTAATGGTCGTACCCAGGGGGTTACAAGATCTACACATGTGTTCGGCACCGATGTCAGGAACAACTTTGACCAAGTCGCTACGCAACACCCCGAATACGCTCTTTCTCGTGCATAGCAGCCATCGGAAATCAAAGTCTGTTTCGTAAGATACACGGCTAAAATGTCAATAAAAGGGCCGCACATACACGTGGCCGATATTAATCGATTGACTCTCAGAAGCTTTGGTCGTACAAACGATGTAAGGAGCTCGGCAGTTGTAGCTGATGAATGGATTTGTATATTGTGTCTATGAATTTATGATGTTTTACTCGTGATAATGAGGTATCTTAGGAGCTCTATTCCAACTGAATGGAGTTCCTAGCGTTAGCAAAGATGGTTCTTTTAGGTGTACAATTTGTGTAGCAATGTAGGGTAGGAGATCATGGCTGTAGTTGGCTCAATTACCCTTATTCTGAAGTTATGTGTGTCTGAATAAGGCTGGCTGGCTAGGCAAATTACAATTGCAGACATGGTGTATACCCGTTGATCCGGTGCGTATAGTTTCGTAAACTTACTCGGTACATAATCAGCTCATAAGTGGGATGCCTACTCTACTAATGTGTTTAAAGCCTAGACTGTATGTGGATTTCTACGTCGTAACTCAACACCGCGTATATCTCCCTGGTATCATGCGCTTTGCAATCTGACACGCATATATGCACCAGGTTGACATTGCTTCTTTTATATCCAAAGTGTGTTTGGCATTCAATATACAATCTATTGCATGCTGCGCCGACCGGGCTAGCGCGTCTGCTAGGGTCTTGGCGTTCCCTTCATGCTTAGTGCTGACCTTTGCTGGATCCAGTATGCGAGACTGCGGTGCAATGCTTTCTTCTTGTAAATGCATGTGCAGGGTTTTATGCTAGTGGATAAGCAGAGAGTTGTTGATGTTTTTAATCATGAAGGATGAGGCACGGGATTGGATAGTTCGGAAGGAATGATCAGCCCGTATCTAGTCCTGGGAGCAGGGTTGAGAGGTGTGAGATAATCACGGAGTCGGAGTATCTATTTTTGTAACATGGAATTTATTTCCACGATTAATATTGTTTACTATCATTGTTTTCGAGGTTTTTATAGATAGTGCTGACATAGTAGATATGCTAAAGTTGTTGTATCCGTCGAAGAGCGCCCCTATAGTTACAAACCGTAATCTGAGATTCTAAACAGCAGTTTAATGATGTTCCTGAAACCGTCATCTATTCATGGACAAATTGCCATATGTTCTACGTACCCTACCCTGTCATACGTGACATTCTTGATCTGGAAGATAAGAATATAAAGTTCTGATATGTTGATCACTCGACACTGATATTCAAAATGGATCATCTACGTAACCATCTACCTCAACGAACTCAAAATGTGATTGAATGAATAGGGGTACATTCTTCGAAATATGTCTAGTCTCGTCAAATATACGAGGGATGCGTCCATGTCTCATCGTTAGAGAGGGCTCACGTGATGTTATCGGTATCGATATCCCAAAGCTAGCTAAGCACAGGTATAATAAGAGAGATGATTAGTATACACGAACTAAGTTCAACGAAAATACGAACCGTACAAGGGATCACCATGTGGTAAATGGATGCTAAAGATTAGCACTGCGACAGCTCTCTACGGCTTCGAGCTTAGGAGTAGATAGAACAATGTGCACGCCGCCACCATCTGACAAATACTAGTATATCCGATCCAATAGGTTGACATTTAATTTACGAACTCTCTATCTTATCCTTCGCCACTATACTGCACAGCCATTCAGGCCCCCCAGCCATGCCATTACATATCCTCTGATCGGCTCCCAAGGGCGAGTACAAGCTACTCGCCAAGCGCTACCATCGGCGCTAGTCCAGCTCGCGGAGGACGGCGACGGCGTCTGAATCATGAGATGAACTCTTGGACATGCCATGGCCGCCGTTGCAGAATCGCATCCTACTACGATACCATCGGCACGCTATGTGTGGCTGGAACAAAGTCCCGTCCTGCCACAAGCAGCAAGACAAACACTATCCGCACGTCGGGAATCTAACAGCGAGATTCCAGTTTTTTTGCTTTACCCGCTGCGCCTGCATTTTGAGCCCCTCCCCACACCCGCCCGTCCACCCCAAAAGAGACACCATGGCATTTGGTTTTCTGACCGATGATGACAATGTCGCAGACAAGGCTAGGTTCGACCGACTGGGTCATGCAGACCCGGATGCAGTATGCACGTGAGTCACGACGCGCGCGCGCAACTCGCGCTATTGTTGAGGCTTGGGGGTTTTCCTTACTAGTCCCGAAAGCTGGTGTTGTCATGTGGTTTGTCTTTTTCCTTTTCAACCATGTCCGGACCGTAACCCAATTTTTTAGAGCCTGTGAGCCACTGGTACTCTAGTACACTCGACGACTTGCCAATGCGCAGAGGGAAAAAACGCCTTGTTGGGGCCGCTTGTGCAAGCTGAATGTCTGGATGGCTGAGGGGGAGAGAGATTGATTTCCCCGCTTGTCATCGGTGAGTGAGAGACGGGACGGGGGGTAACGAGTCGAGTGCATTGGGCTGCTGACATGTGCGACTCGGTCTACCTACCGTGCATGCGGGGATGCGCTAGATCGAAATCTAGATCCGGGTCCAGTCAAGATGGGAAATGTGCGAAATACGCTCTGGGAATCCTGGGGCACGGCTGGAAGCCCTTGCGTCACGCATGAAACATGGTACTGCTTTCTTTTTCCTAGTGTTTCACAGAATTGTGGTCTTGGGCGTAGCTCGGATAGGGCGATTCGTCATCCTTTGACTTTCCTTTTGTCATAGTTTGCTCTCGTATTCTGGGGATCTGTTGCTCAATGAGGCTGAGCGTATTGGATCAGGCTATACTGGTTTTCGCAATACTGTAACACGAACTGTCTTCAGCACTCCGAGGAACAGAATCCCTCAACGGCAGGTGCAACAATGAGTGCAGATGAGGCATGCTCTAGTGGTGGTCTTTGCTTACATCAAAGTCAGGTACCGAAGTACCCCATAGTGGGCATGTCTTGGATCCGATACGGACCCCTCAACACCCTTTGAAAAAAGTCGTCCCGTACCGCCACGAGCCTGCTTTTGTCCACCGAGATGACGGATCTAAGCCGCTGCCGTAACAACTTCCTGATTCAAGTTGGGCTAACTTGGCAATAGCTACCAGTGTCGCATCTACCGTTTCTTATTCAGCCACGTCACGAAACTCGGGTAAACTTTTCCATCACGCCATCTCGGTGCCAAAAGCGACAAAAGGAAGTAAAAAGAATCGTCCAGCCTGCCAAGTCCATGGTTCGCACCAGCTAGTTGTGTGTAACTTGCAAGACAATGGTAACACTTGACCAAGTACCTGGTGTTACACCCGGTACCTTGCATGTACGCAAAGATGACGACCAAGCTCCCATTCTTTGTAGCACTCAGCCCGGCAAACCGAAGATGCAGCTTCGTGTAAGCAACTAGCTGGAAGCGCGGCCGTGTCAGCCCCAGGACCTTGGGTCCCCAAAGCAAAGGGAACAAGCTTCTTCGCCCATCATCGCCGTGGTACCGATCCTACTGGTGTCATGCCAAGCTCTTTTGTTTTTCCACTCTTCCTTTCTTGGATACACTGGTGAACTAAAGACCTTAAGAAAACAGGGCGAGACATGAAACAGTCTTGTTGATACTATCTATGTAGGTCGGTTAGCCCACGGTTGAAGCATTGTCTGTATTGTGTCTTCGCGGTGAAAGCAAAGTGCATACCAAGATGAGTATAGTCTAGAGATAGAAACAATCCCAGACTGTGGAAATGGAGATCTCCTGATCTACTTAGACGCCACAGGAAGTTGGATCTCGATGAGACAAAGCAAAGATTGTCAAGTCAGACGCCACGAAGATTGCCGATTCTTGGTTGGAAAGGGTACAAGACCATGCTCCAATAATGCTGGTACTGAATGCTACGTGTTTCTCGGGACCGTTGTTTTGTGGTGCCGGGGTCCTGGATGTATGTAAGACATGCTTGTGCGATTTGTCTGTGGGACCGAGGGTACAGATCCACGCTAATGTCAGGCCTCTAGGTGCTGATGAGTGATGTAGGAACCACCCAAAGTTTAAAGGATTACGGCATATGCGTGGGCTGGTGTGACGTTATGCAGCCATGTTGCACCCGATGGACGTGTGGTGTTTTTGTGAGCTGGATCTGGGTACCAGGGAGAGAGAAGCATAAACTAGTGGGGAGGATTTCAAGTGTGTGCAAGAATTTGGGGTTTGTTTTGAGATACATTCATATCATTGTCTACCGTGGGTAAGATACAAGATGCTTGAATAACAGATTGATTACAAAGCAGCATAGACTTAGTAGTGTCAATGTATGCTGTGCTTTCTATAACTCAAAAGCTGATAATTCACCTTTTTGAGAAGCGTTTCGGTAACACTAAACAGTTCTTTTGCACTTAGCACCTGTCATATAATTACGCACTCTGCAGCCGACGTAGTTGAAATGTTCTTTTACTTTGTCTCCTTGCACCTATTCAAAATCCACAGTATTTGGATCACTGTATACATTCACGTAAAAACTGTTATCACGCTCAAAATTACATTAGAATTCGTTCACGTCACACAAACACGTTTCACACAATATACAATAGTTATTTCCCTTCATCTCTCTATATTCCCAACCGCTGACATCTATGTACACATTTTTGAACACCGTACCTAGGTTAGCAGAATTCGCAGCAAGCAACCATTTCACAGAGGGTCAAAGATGAATTCGATAAGTTTTAGAGCAGCCTAGATTGTCCCAAATCACTCGAGTTGAATCAAATCCAAACCCAGAAATCGTACTACTGATTAGTTGTTATGTGTTTTACGAGTCAATATCGTGTATTGAGATAACACTCAATTCTATACAGACATAGCAAAATAAAGAGATTCAACGCAGCTCTGTGCAAAAATACACTCTACGCTTGCCATTGAGCACGAAGAGACAAATGCCACGATGATATCTGTTGGGTGTTACTGCATGTCATATCAAGTCCTAAAGTCCTAACCTTTCTTTCCAACTTACATTACCATCCTTGAATATTATAAGAATTCATTCGCGCCAGTAGCTGTACAACAACTAATATTCGCTTGATAGTGTAGGGTGTGACTAACTTTTCTCTTCAAGGGGTTGAGAAATATGCTTGAATCCATACATAGCTACTTATTATTGTACTCTACCTAGATATGGCAAGCATATACCTTCTGCTCCAAGCCCAGGATATGATCAAAGAAAGCAATCCAGCATGCGAGCTCAGGCGATTGCACGGAACTGAATATTGGCATATATTTATCCTCTTGCAGAATAATTTCAAACTCTTACACCTAGTACATGCGAGAGTTGCAGTCCAAGCCGGCATCTATTTCGGCCAGCGCTTAGCTATGTTCATTGGTTCTATGACTCCATTCATTCGCCCAAAAGTATACGACGTCGATACATAAACTATTTGGGAGCCGAACAAGAAACGAGGAGGAAGAAGCCAAGAAAAGCCATTGATACCCGGACTCACCATTTCAATTGTTGTATAACTAAAGCAGTGACTTAATAAATCTAGCTGTGAAGCTACAGGGCATGCCGTCACTTCTGAGCATCTTCTCTACCTCGCTTACGACACCGCGAATCTTTCATGGGCATCGCATCTTTACAAATGGAGTAGCGGTTTTGCTGTGTATCTTCCAGAACTATAGTACCGGGGAATGCAACCATCACATTGATTAAATCCGTTGACTAATAGACTTATAGAGAAGTATAGTCGATGCAGTCGTGCATAGACAATTTACACAGCAACTGGTACGAAGCCACACTGTTTTACTCTAATGGACGTACACATGTATGCAAAGAGAACTGGTATTCGCCTGCGACGATGACACAAATGCTCACGTATACTTGGCGTACTTTCTTACATCACTCTTGGCATCTTCAGCCACCAGCATATCCATGCATCTGGATACTCCCCGCCATGACATGACATTGTAGTCAGGATTACAGCAATGCAGAAAACATTAAAATCTAGTAAGAGCCCCACCCCATATGCAAAGATCCGTGCTAAATCTCCCAGAATCAAGGCCGATCTCAAGATCTAGCACGGCTAACACACCCGTATACCCTCCTCATGACCATTCCTACAGGACCTGGTTCAGCAACTACAATCAGCTACTGGGCGCCACCTGAGTTTCAGCCCTGTCACTTCCAACTCCGCATAAGCCTGAAGCCAGCTCAGATCCAACTTGTGCAATCCCATGAAGATCACGGTATTGTGTGCATTGCAGCCCGCGAGCCCGATCTCGCAAGTTTCTTCCGCAAAAAGCTTGAGTACCTCCAGACGTCCTCGCACGATGCAAAGATGGTCTCGAAGCTTGTCGTCAACCTGCGGTGCGATGAAGTGAATAAGGGAGTCGAGCTTCAAATTTTCAGCGTCCAGATTTTTGGTGATGAAGGCGGTAATCTTGTTTCGGAGGGCTGCAATCTGTTATGGAAGTGGACCAAAGAGCAGAGTCCGTATCGTAAGTCAGGATTTTGGGATCATAAGCTGGCCCAGGTGTTGGTTGATGCGGAGTGGACAGCGGGGGAAGGTGTTGTAATTTTGGCCAAGGGTGTGGATGAGGAGGAGTATGAGAGGGTGGTGAAGGGGGAAATCAAGTCCTAGTCATATAATCCCATTTAACTACTGAGGTCATATTCACTTTGCGGCAGCTGCGAGATAAAGCATTTGTTCACTCAAACATGGGCGAGGCATTATATACGATATTTTTGTAATTTTGGCAATTTGTATCAAGCATCATCTACTACTTCTATACAGCCTAAGAATACCACTTTGATTATATTACAATAAGGAAATGAAAAATGAATGCAAACTCCAAAAGAGACACGATGTTCCCATACGCGAGACAGCTCAACACGCTCTCACGTTACCAAGCTACCCCACACCGAACCCGCCCCGCCAAAACCGTGCCCATGTAAACTTTCCGTCGACCTTCACAAACCCGCGCCCAGCAAAGCTCCGCGCGACCACCACCACCACCACCAACCCGCACGCCATGGCCTCAAAGCAAGGCGGCCAACCCGGCCAAAGTAAATCCCCCCTCTCTTTCCTCAATTCCCCAAACCTCACGAAACAGAACGAAAAAAAAGAAGAAGAGAGAGAACAGTGTTAATACCACCAACCACGCAGTCGAAATAACCTCCCTTCCCGTCCCCCGCCTGCAAGAACTAAAAACCCAACTCGACGCCGAACTCACCCACCTCTCCAACTCCTTCCAATCGCTGCGTACCGCACAGTCAAAATTCAAGGACTGCCTCGCCTCCATAACCACGGGCCTCACAGCCAGCACAACAAACAAGCCGCTGCTCGTGCCCCTCACATCATCGCTGTACGTACCGGGCAAGCTGACGGACCACGAGCACGTGCTTGTAGATGTTGGTACCGGATTTTTCGTCGAAAAAGACATTCCGGGCGCGAAAGATTTTTACGAGAGGAAAGTCAAGGATTTGGGGGAGAGTTTGAAGGATTTGGAGCAGGTGGTACAGGGGAAGGCGCAGAATGTGAGGATGGTGGAGGAGGTGATTCGGTTGAAGGTTATGAGTGCTCAGGAGGGTAAGGGGGAGGAACAAGGGAGCTGAAGAAACAGAGTTATGGGATGAGGGTATGACTGTTTACCTGGCTAATTGCATTGAATGGAAACATGGGATGCCTGGAGAAAAAACAGTTTTTGCTACGTACAATGAGGTCTGGGAATGGCTTATGAAACTAAAGCCGGGTCGCTGGTGTCCAGACATGAGCTTGGATAGTGTAAATAAAGAACACTCCATACACCAGGTTACGAAATATAGAAACTGAATGCATACCGCTCAAAGCACACCTTCTCAGCTATTTCCGCCATTCGCATAGTGCCAGTTCCCATCGTTATATAGCAACACCTCCCTCATTTTGCTTGACCGAACTGACAACGGCCGAGACCTGGAGCAGCTTGTCTATCAGAATGCGGATACCATCCTGAGGAGGCGCTTCAACATCAGGATCAAGATCGAGGTTACTCAAGCCTAAGTCCTCGTCGGCAGTGTTATATGAAGACTGTCCGTCTTTTGGTAGAAAACTGGTAAGAGTATTACCCCAGTTGGCCTTGCGACCGGTAGGAAGATGCTCCAGCTCCGAAAGACGGTTTGCCCACTCGGCATGACGAACAGCAAGACTCCACACTGGCTGCTGACCCGTGTGCCAGATGCGTGCGATCTCGACCTTGTAGGATGTCTCCTTGATTCCGAAAGAGTGCATGACAATCAGACGTTCAGTCACTAGGCAATCCTCGACAGCCGGTGATGTCTCCCATTCAGCAAAGAGGTCAGCAGACTGGGGATTGTAACCACGTTTCATCCTTACACCCTCCATAAACCGGGTAAGGAGGGGCGATATGCTCTTTGCAGACACAGGTTTTAGGGACTCCAGTGTAAATTGCCACCCACGACCTTCTCCTAGTTCCAATAGTTTGATATCCATGTGCTGCTTGAGACCTGCGGCGCCGGGCTCCAGCTCGTAGAATCGCGGCGTGTCCTTCTCATACAAACCTTCGTTATCATCAGTCCAGTCAACTTGGGCCAGGATATACTTTTCTGGCACAGTCACAGGCTTTTGGCCGGAAGTCGTTGGTCTCCCAGAATGGCGGATGCGTTCACGCGGCAGGCCAGCGGAGGAAGTGTTTGGATCCTGGAATATCCACATTCCTCGGAACATTGGTCTAGTTTTCTCGAGCGTGTCGGGTCTATAGCCAGAGTAGCTAGAGGATTTGATGGGTTCGAGGAGTTCGTCAGATGAGCAGAGAGATGTCAGCATCTGTTGGCCGGATATATCGTCGACCACCCTATTCAATTAGCGCCACCGTCTCGACACGATTTGATAGGATATCCACTTACCATCTCTCAACATTTAGTGGAAGGCGACCGTTGATTAATCTCAAAAATGTCCCCTTACTGTATTTGACCTCAACCTCGCTGTTCTTGATCTCGTCTGAGCGAACTGATAGACAGCCCAGACGAATGACCAAGTCATAAGCGCCTTTTCTTGATCTCACAGCTTCGAGAGCCAACTGAAACGAACGCTGAATCGTTGGCAGCTCCGATAAATGCAGTGTCTGTCCGCGAAAACTACCAGGAGGTTCCATCATGTCGCTTGGAAGAAAGCGGGGTGAAGTTCGGTTCTCGATTTGCGGCCACCATGGATCAGCTTGTCTGAAAACGACTTCCATGCCCTCTTGATCATCCAGAATCATGTTGGTTGAGCAGGGCCCCATTTCTTCAGTTTTGATTCTCTCAATCATGTTCTTCACCTCCTCTACAGCCACTTCTAGATTTGCAATCTCATGAGACTGGATTTTCATTTGCCAGTCGCCGCTCCTGTTGCCCAAGAGAGTGATGAATACTTCGTTGCGCGTTCTGAGGGCGTCCAATACCTCTAGCTTGTTGCCAAAGGCATCTCGAGGTGAGATATCGCGGTCGTTGAGTTCGGCAGGCCAGTGTACAATCATCTGCATTTGTAAGTTTAGGAATCACCAGGCGATTAAGAGGTACCCACCGTTTCCAGATCAACATCTTCAGATGGCGCCTCCTTGAATCTTTGCTTATGTCTCTGCTTTATATCATCAACTTGCTCGTAATACCACTTGTTCGGGTCGAACGCCGGCGTCTTTGCCCATGCTGACGAGTCTTTTGTCTTGTTCTGCGCTTTCGATATCCACTGGTTGATGTGACGAACAGCTTTCTCCAGGGCTGTGCCGGTCCCGAAGATATCAAATTGATAGATAATGCTGTGGTCTTGCTCCCATTTTTTATTCCAATGTGGAATTACAGCACATCCCGTGCTGACTTTGACGTCGCTGACGATCTGCTCTCGTTCTCTGGCATAAGTGGGGCGGCGGAACTCGGGAGGGACATAGATGACTTTGTTCGGCTTCTTTCCTTTGAATGCATTCTGGTCGGTCGTTGGGTTTGGTGGTCTAGCATTTCGTGGATCCATGGTTGCCGCTGGTTTATTATGGCAGAGAGGCTTCGCAATGGGATACAGAAGAGTTCTAATGGTGGCGTGCGGCTCTTAGGAAGTGGCAGAGGTGAGGTGATATGATGTAAGAGGCTAAAAGCAAACAGGCAATCGCGTCCAGCAACAGCAAGCGCACGTGTGCCGTGTTCTAACAAACTTCACCTTCACCAGACCGCGCAGGAGACGCAATGACATGTGGAAACTCGTGAAGCGTCAATAAGGGAAACCGACTGGGATTTGTCCATACCGCAAGTATCATAGCCTCGATATTCCCTATGCCGAATGACTTGTGATCAATGAGTATACAGGGAAGGCAACGGATATGAAAAGTGCGAGAGGATGATTCACTTGATATACTAAAGTGACCTAGATATCTATACTGAAAGGCAAGCTGCCTCACACCCAGAAAGGGTAATCGTATGTGGACGCAAAAATTCTTTATGAATACACTGTTATGAAACGAGGGATGGGCAATCTTTGATAGCAAGTGCAAAAAAACAATGAGATGTTACCCTCTTATCACGTGCGAAAAGATATCAAGCGAACACCAAGTACTGACTACGTGACACATACTTGAAGCCTAACAAGCAGCAAACAAAATCCTTTTCACAGAACATCCACAAAGACTTAAAAATGCACCAAGATTCTTAATCGGAGTTTTCAAAGATGCGAACGACACGGGGAATAGCCAGTGTTTAAACACGTTCAGGTACATCATTTCCAGAATCATATCTGTCTTCGTGTAAACATAACATCATTACATTCCAATTCATAACTCATGCTCTCATACCGTTGCTGTTCCCGATTACGTCGCAAACCGCCACGTCGTAACCTCTCCCGTCCTCTCCTCCTCCCGCTCAATTGCCTTGTTTTTCCTCTCCGCCCAGAATTTCGCGAGCAACGAGAAAACAATCGTAAGTCCACACCCAGCAATAATAATGCCACCGCCCATCTGGTACCTCGGCTCCTGGCTGCGCAAGAAGAAGTACGGGCTAAACCAGTGCGAGACAGACGACACGCAGTTGGCGATGGCGATGAGGGCTGCGCGCTTTGTGCGTGGACGCGGGACAACGGTTGTTTCCCACGAGAGTTGGATGTTGAGACCGACAAAGGGGCCTGAGCAGAGTAGGATGAGGGAGAAGTATCGGGCCCCGACGTTGAGAGTGGAAATCATAATGACAGCGCCGATGAGTGCCACGGAAATGGAACCGACGATGTGCCAGCAGTGTTCAAGTCTCTTGCCCGAGCTCCAAGACACAAGAAGTGTGACAAAGTACGCGATGACATATGGCGGTGCCTGTACGAGATATGTTTCGACCTTGCCAAATCCCAGGGTGCTAATGATCGAAGGGAAAAAGTCTTTGAAGCTTTGTGCAATGATGAGGGAGAAGTGCATGCCTGCGAAGAACCAGGTGAAGGGGTCTTTGACGGCTTGCCAGACACCACCCCACATGTCGCCTTCATCGTCTTCGCTCTTGCCACCAGCAGACACCAGAGCGCGGTATTGTGACATTTGTTGCTCTTCTTCAGTGAAGAAATAAGCACCGGTGTTGTTTGGGAAGTTTGGTAGACTAGGGAGTATTAATAATGTCTGATAGAGAAGGAGGGAAAACAGCGTCTTACAGCCAGAATCCAGCGATCGCAACCAAAATGGACACAATCCCCTCTAGCAAGAGAAACCACTGCCATGCATGTAGGCCGGCGACATTATCCATGTTGGTAAGAATGCCTGCAGCAAGGAGACCGGAAAAGACATTGCTGATAATAGTACCCGCGTGCCAGATGCCCATACGTAGAGGGGATTCTTCTTTTGTATACCACGACGAGGTCATGAGCGTGATAACGGGGAGGAACGGACCTTCTGTAATGCCTATCAGGAGGCGACACAGCATAAAAGCCCAAGGTGATTTCGCCGCCGGCATGCATATAGTGATGAAGGACCAGGCAAGCATGATACAGGGCATAAGGACTCGCGGCGACGACTTGGCGATGATAACGTTACCCGGAACCTGAGAAATGATGTAGCCAACGTAGAAGAGTGAGATTCCCGCACTCCATTCCACGTCCGTCATGCCCAGGTCTTCTTGCATGCCAGCAAGTCGCGCGTTGGACACATTGATTCGATCGAGGTAGCTGAAGAAATGGTATGTCAGTGCCACAATCTCGACTACCATGTACTGAGAGAAGGAAAACGTACTTCATCAGCAGCATTATAGTAATGCACGGCAGGAACTTCCAGTCCAATTTCTTTAGAACAGCCTTGTTCAGCGCCTTGAGCTCATCTTCGGTTTTGTTCACCAGGAGCGGATATTGCTGCAGGTAGCCCGCTTCAGCGTTGACATTAGCATCCTCAATCTTAATAATCTCGATGCTCCGTTTTGAGTCCGAGTCGATCGCCATTGTGCTGGAAGTGATTTGAAAGGGTAAACTATGTATATTATCGAGCTCGATATGCAATCGAGGCTCCGTGGATTGAACATTGAGATCCACGACCTGCTAATCGTCTTTATACTTGTTGTCACTCACATTGGCGCATATGCAATCTCTCGAATAGTCGTCCCCAATGCTTGGCAGTTCCTGGGCAACTTCATCCCCGGACCCCAGATGTTTTCCCCGCGACCCAGTATTCTAGCGTAGACTGTTTGTCTTGGGACTTACGGGATGTCGAAAGCGTGCTCGGGGCTACGGCCGATGCGGGGAAACTTTTCGGACGTGACCGAGACGGATGGTGCACGACTCGTGTCGAGGCGTCCGATGCCCCGAGGCAGGTATCCTATGACTTGAACAGTCATTGCGTGTACCAAGATGTGTACAAAAGAGGGTTGGAGTCTCGAGTTATGGTAAGCATACTCTTACAAAGACATTTTTCAAGATTGTCTTGCCATCTCGCCTTTGTAGCTTGTCTTGAGTTTTCTTGAACCGACTAAATCATCGCTTGACTACTATACACACTATGGCGGAAGTCACCCTCCCTAACTCTCTTCGAGAGAAAATGCTCAGAGATGAGGTGGCATACACGCTTTCAGTCAAGCTTGTACGCAGTGTCGAGTTGCCAATGATGGCAAAGACTGCTGGGTTCGATGGTATCTTGATCGATATGGAGCATTCATCTTTCGACCTAGACACCACAAGTGAGTCATTTGTCTTCGACACTATCTCGCTACGCTAAGAGTAAATTCAGGCCAAATATGCATTGCTGCACTTTATGCAGGTATTGCGCCCATCGTCCGTGTGCCCTCCAAAGATTCATGGTTCATCGCGAGAGTGCTCGACGGTGGCGCACTTGGCGTCATTGTGCCTCACATACGGTCCGTCCAAGATGCCAAAGATGTCGTCGCTGCCGCCAAGTTCCAGCCACAGGGTCACCGATCTTCTGTAAACAACTTGCCCCACTTCCAATATCGTCATATTGCGGCGAAGAAGACAAATCCTGTGGTCAACACCAACACATTAGTCATTCCCATGGTGGAGACCCTAGAAGCCGTCGAGTGTGTAGAAGAGCTTGCAGCTGTTGATGGCGTTGACTCACTACTTATCGGTACCAACGACATGACAGCTGAGATGGGCATTCCAGGCGAATATGACAACCCAAGATTGACTGAAGTGTACGAAAAGACGATCAGTGCATGCAAGAAGCATGGAAAGTATGTCGGAATTGGAGGATTACATTCAAGGCTGGATCTTGTAGAGAAATTTTGCGCAATGGGAGCCAGGTGGGTCATGGCAGCCACAGATGGTCCACTGCTACTTGGAGGTGCTACAAAGAGAGCAGGAGAGATGGCACAACTGAGCCAAAGGGTTAAGGCCTCGAGCTCGGCCGCCGACGTCAAGACTGCCAAGAGTAATGGCGCAAGCAACGGTGTTCCAGAGAAGCTAAACGGTAATGCTGTTCAAATAGCAGAGGTTCCGACAGATGGCCATTAGATGTCAAGAGAAATTTAAGTCGTAGTATCTCCAATGGCTGAACCTTTGTGACTTGTGTCATTCGTGTTTGCCTCGATACTCGTAAGTAAGATGGGTGTTGGAGTATAGCGTAGTCATGCAGCGTATGTCTCCACTAAAAGGAGTTTTTTTTAGAAAGAGGTCGCCTGGTTGAAGATAGCCTAGAGATTTTTACGCCCAGGCATTCCGCCCTATGATGAAACAATGTCCGAATAAGTTTGTAATAACGAAAGAAAGCGTAAGTTCAAGGCGTAAATCCCCTCAAAATCATATTTCGCAAGGGCTTCGAAATACATATTTCTGAACGATCAATAAGATCGCGAAGGTGCGACGGAGACGAAAGTTGCCTATTGTCTATCGAGATAGCGCGATACTCCGAGAGCACATCTCTCAGGCTGCGGACGGGGGGATACCGCATTGAGAGTATCGTCAGGACATTGATAGCTTGCGCTACAAGGCTTTTCCGTGCAGCTATACGCGCCATAGTTTGCTCGGTCAGATTCACGCCAGGCTCATTTACCATGCGTGACTGCATGATTATGACGCCAGCCGCAAATACATCGAAAGCGTCAAAAGCTACAGGTGCGCACCGCTGTTCCAGAAGATGGGTTTCTAAGAGATTGAGGTAGTTTTCGATATCTGGCTCGGCTCCACACAATATCAAATTCCAATTTTGGTCATTCTGGAATGATATTCGCTTGACTATCTCGATAAGACCACGGACTAGCATTTGGAGATGCGAGAGCAACGGAGCTGCGGGTGTATCCATAATATCGTACCAGTGGCGAAGGTTGATGTAGTGAACCCAAGGGTCTGTCGTAGCCTCTGAACGATTGGACCGGAGTAATTGAGCATGCTCGACTAGACAGCGAAGTCGCCCATCGTCGTTGTCAATTTCTGTCGAAGTCGGCGACGAAACCAGTACGTCATTATCACTGAGACAAAACGGTCGATCTAGTGCAGTACTGATGTACGTGTCTAATGTGTAGAGCGTCCAAAAGGCTCTGCAGCTGTTTCGTTTGTTCTCGTTGTCTGACTCCAAGTCAGATAACCTACTTGTGTGCATACCGGACGCAACACAGCGCGTCATTGCCAAGCCTAGTAAATGCCAAGTTGAACCTCCGAGTGCTGTGTACATCGAGTAGATTGTCAATGCGACTAAGCACTGAACAGTCGATAAGTCACTCGCGCGGTCGAATACGCGAGGTAACAGGTCTACCGCGCACGCTGCATACTTGCTCGCGATGACTTCAGTGTACGTATAACCTGGCGACACAAGAAGGCCTGTGGCGAGCCCGAACAGCATCATAACAGTCGTCTCGGGTAGCTCTGCGTCAACTGCGGTATTACCTGGTTGTATGGTTAGTCTAGGGACGAGCGTGAAGGGCACGAAAAAAGATTGTATAGCATCAACCGTTCAAGGTCGCTTTCAGATGATAACTTGAATCACGCTGACAACATGCAACCTTTGGAAAGCTTACCAGTAGCAGCATCCCTATCGCCCTGTTGGGTTTGCAAAGCAGCGTTGAACACATCTCTCAGGTCTCCGCTGGCTATGAACGGATAAGACTGCTGCACAAACTCGATGTATTTGTCGAGTGCAGCGCTGTTTACAGTTCTACTTTGCTCGTAATGTGCCACAATAACGTCGTTACAAAGATTAGCCAGAGTGGCAGAATGAGCAGCATGGTGATCCTGAGACGTTGAGGGATTTGCCCCTGACACCCCAATTGCAGCATACAGTAAAGTTGGGAAAGAGAGGCCCTGGGTTGGGAAGGGTTGACGATCCGCCCGCTGCGCGCCCATAGCAGCTAGTGACAGATACGATGCTTCTTCTATCGTATCATGCAGGTCACCGTTTGGATGGTCCGCGACCTCGGACAATCCTGGTACATCAGTGAGTTGGTGAGTGTCATCTTGGTCTCTAGGTGAATCGTGTGCTTGTCTCGATGGTGTGGTATCCTGCAAGGGCTCTTCCCGAAGTTGTGTTTCGAGTGTTTGAATCCTAATCTTCAAGGACTCCACATAACTCAAGCCGCTCAGTCCAGGTGTTTCAGCTGTGGAGCCGAGTCGGCGTTGCACACATGTGGTTGAAGCTTCACGACATTGCGTGCAAGGAAAGTCGCGCGAGCACTAGAGGAGGTCATGAGCGCGATAAGTCTGTACGGGAACGGCAGGACAACCTTCTGCTTTCTCCTCCAGCACCTCTCGCAAGCCTGTATCATAATGCATGCCATGTGCACGTCTTAGTGCCATGGCTTAGAATATGTCATCAGTGTTGGTGTTTATACAAAGGATGCACTACACTTAAACGTCAAAATTGGCAGCCGAGGCCAAAGCTCGCCTCGGCTTGGCCTACTAGTAGTAAGTAGTAGAAAGCCTCGAGTTCATCTACCAATCAAACAACCGCACCCTATGGGGTATTCGACACGGTCCGACTGTGGCCAATAATTCACAGCTCAAGGTGCATTCGGACCATGCGCCGCGTAGATAGACTATTGTCGCATTTGACCAATGGCGATTCCCAAGTAGTATGTGGGCCTTCGGCGCCGTTGGAACCCTCCGAACCCTCCGGCTACAAGAAGAGGTTGCCATCGGACACGACCGAGCAGCATCCTTCGGCAATGGATGATACTGTGGGGCTCCATGATGCCCCAACGCCTTGAACATTCAGCGCACTGCACCAGTGGCACCGGCTATCACTGCGTGCTCCAACGCGTCGGACATGTGTCGTTTGCCGGCTGGACCAGTCACCATGTAGATGTGACTCAAACATGGACATAAAATCAAGCCATGTCTTCTGCACGAGTAAAGAGACACAAGCCTCGTTGCTGGCATCTTCGCGACCAAGCTATACTAGCATTTACGCTTCTTGCACGAATAAACAATGGCACCAAGTCGCATCGACTCGCCTGCAGAGCCTCCATCTGCTGGCAAAGGAGCTAAGCCGACTGTGTACCTCCTTGATACCTTCCATCCTACAGCCGTAAAACATGCGCAATCTTTGTTTGACGTCGTTCTTCCCGATGACAGTCGACATGCTGAGTGGCGGGAAAATGCGGAGTATCTGCTCATCCGCAGCTCGTACCTGACAGCGGATGATGTGAAGTCAGCCCCTAGACTCAAGGCGCTTGGCAAGCAAGGTGTTGGTATGAAACTTCCATCGTTCCCAAGACGGGTTGATCCTAATTACGGAATAGGTATTGATAAGATCGATGCCGCAGCATGCCGCGAACGCGACATCAAAATCTTCAATACTCCTGGCGTCAATGCACAGGCTGTTGCCGAAACAGTACTCACTCTGACCATGTCTGTGGCACGTCAAGTAGGCCGCATTACCGCACTGCAAAGCACTGGACAGACCATACCAAAGGAGAAGTGTTCTGGCCTTATAATAAGCCAAAAGACAATCGGAATAGTCGGCATGGGAAACATAGGTCAGAAGGTGGCCAGGATATTCCAGGGAGGCCTGGGCTGCAGCATCGTCGCATATGACCCACTGTTGCCGGAAGACGCGTGGACAGACATACCTCACACACGCGCTAAATCGTTGGAGCAAGTTCTGGAGACTTCTGATATCGTTACACTTCACATCCCTCTCCTCCCTCAGACGCGAAATCTCATTGGTTATACACAAATTTCCCGGATGAAGCGGAACGCGATTCTCATCAATACTGCACGTGGCGGCATCATCAATGAGGCCGACTTAGAGCGAGCGCTGAAAGAGGAGCTCCTCTTTGGTGCAGGTCTCGATTGCCATGAGCAAGAGCCGCCCACACAAGAGCGATACGGCGGGCTTTGGGGTACCGGCCGTGTGGTAAGTACACCACATATTGGTGCCGCTACTGCTCAAACACAGATGGAGACGGCTATAGCAGCGATTGATCGATTGGCGGAGTACATAAGGAGTCAATAGTTGAATGACATTTGATCCCAAAAATTGCCGTCTAGAGGTAGTGAACCCCATGCGTACTCTCCAAGTCCAGCCTCCAATTGGGTCATGAGGTTATTGGTCAGGCTGAAATCGAACTGTTGAGAACCAAGTCCATAGTGTGGGTCAAACTGACCATTTCCGGGGCCCAAGTCAATGTTGTCCTGCGACATGGCGCCGGCCATCGTACCACAAGCCTGCTCAAGGTCTCCGGTCATAACGGTTGAGTTATTATGGACAGGGTGCGCTCCAGAGTCATGCATTGGATCCTGGCTGGGATTAGAAGTCTCAACTCTAGGCAGATTCTCTTTAAGACATTCATCTTTCAGAACATCGAAGACCACGGCGGCAGATGCCGCATCTGGCATTTTGTCCTTGAAGTAAGACAGAATAGCACTGCATAGAGCCAGTGTCCTGGCTGGATGGCGCTGCTCAAAGTCTGCTTCTATACTACTTTTCAGTAGCTCGAGACTGATACAGAACGTGACAGTCAGTCCAGCCGTGAAGATCACTTGAAAATAACTGCGTGTCCAAGTGATTGCGCGTTTCTCCATCAACGTAGAATACAGCTCAATAATTCTGCTGGCAGAAACATAACAGGCTGTCAGTATTTCCTTTACAGCAGCACCTGCATACGGCTTGGATGGTACGTTGTGCATCGCACCCCGAGCCAGGAGCAGCATATCCTTCTCATGCAAAAAGTCATGCCATTCAGGTCGCTCATATAGGGATCGTGGGTAGAGGAAGATTGGTGCGGTTGCCCGCCATTCGTTCAGTTCTGATCGTAACCGTGTGAAGGCTGTGTAGACGTGACCGATGGACTTGAACTCAGTTGATCTTCCAAAACCGGTAGCGTTTGAGGCTACTGCGCTTCGGCTACTGTAAAATGTCGAATGTATCCGAGAGCTGATTCGCCTGAGCTGAATGCAAATGATGAACACGGATACTTCGGAAGGCCCCGGGCCACGCTTAGGCATCAGATCAAGACTCGTTATGCTTGAATTGACCAGGTAATCGTCGTCTGCATCGAAAGGAAGCTCTACCTCGATATCCGATTCTGCGATTGCAAATGGTCGTCCCAGAATTCCGGAGCTATACCGGTCAAGCACATAGCACTCCCAGAAGACGCGGCGTCGATGCTGCTCGACGAGAGGGTCCAAGGGATGTGCCGGCTTCAAATGCAGCTTCCACTCGATGCATTGCCTCATACACAACTGGGATATCTCCCACAACGAAGCACCAATATGGTGATACATGCCGAATCTGGCTACCAGTAGAAGATTCTGAATTGCATCGATATCGCGTATGAGTGGTATTCGCCCAAGATAGTCCTCGGCTGCCATGAAGTAGCCATACGGATGATCGTTAGTGATGCCTGCGCGATAGCGTGTAGTGGCACTGATAGCAAAGACCATAAGCAATCTGAAGTAGTCTTGGTCCGAAGAAGTTGCCGATGCATTGTAGACGCGATTGAAAATGCCGAGAACGTCTTGGCGCAAAAGGAATGTGTGATGTATGTGGAAGCGGGTAAAGTAGTTTTCTAAAAGCTGCTCCGCTTCCTGCACTGCCGGCAGAGGATTTGGCGAAAGATGGAGTTGCTGGATCCCAGGACGCGTCGCTAGTTGGTTGAGTATGTGCGTTCGGTGGTGTTGCCATTTCGCTTCAGAGAGTATGCTACGCAGGAATCCGAGGCCGCTGCCATCGCCAACAAACCCGCCATGTGAGGTATGGCTGCCTCCCGTTGGAAGCCCGGCTGGTGTCGCCTGCGGTGCTTCGATAGTGCTATGGCTCGTTTCAGGTCTGCCGGCAGCTTTTTCGTCTAATCTTGCCTTTAAGTCGGCCTCTTGAACCTCGAGCTGTCGGATGTAATCTCGTGCATATTGTTCACCTGTTGCCGGATCGGTGATGATGCAAGCCACATTTCCCTTTGTGCAACTGGTACATTTTGGCGCCTGTCGGTCGCACTTGACCTTGCGCAGCTTGCATTTTTGACAGGCTGGAAGCTCGTTAGACATGCCTGTCCATCGGGTGTGGTTGCCGCCAGAAGATGTAGCTTGTTTTAAACGTAAGAAGGACGGTGGGGATCCCCAGAAACCAAGCATGGCATGCGCACATTACTTACCTGGAATGAACTAGTGCAATTAGTCAGCGTCGTGTCAAGCAGATCAAACACGGATCCCTGTCCGCGGCCACTATGTGCTTACAAGTACACCTCGAGGCGAGGTGAAAGACGGCTGATTCGCCGACATCCCAAAACGGAAATCATGCAATAAGACGTCGGGAAAAAGAAAGCACTCCCTACTGTCGCTCATGCCCGAAAAAAGGCAATATTCTCGACCGACAGTACCTTTCTGGCGCTCCTACGCGACGGCTGAGTCTAGGCAGACGGCGGCTTGTGCAAGAGCAACTCAGAGAAGGCCAAAAAAGAATAAACTCTCACATCGTCATACTGCGGGCCATTTGCATTATGTGATGGGCTTTGAACATGCTCCATCGTCCCGATCGGCGGATGCGGGAGCTAGCGCTTCCGCCGTTACTGTGTCCGTGCGCGGAATGCGCGGATTCGCGCAATGCGCCGAACCACCAAAAACAGCTCCACCAAAATTG